GCTGAAGTGTCTCGCCTCATAACCCCTGCTGAATTTCAAGAGGAAAACAGACTGCCAGCAGTCTAACTTACAAACAGCAAACTTGACCTTTAAAAATATGCTGCACTGAAGCACCTTGTCAGAAATTACCTCTCACCATAAGATTGACAAAAGCCAACTTTGTGTAAATAATGTACGATAGCTACACGTGATAATTGTTCCTGGTTGTTACCTAGGATTACCTTTTTACATCATTCTGTTTGTGATAACTTGTCTTACAGATTAACAGGTGATAAATCAAATGTGACAGATTTTCTTGCTCTGCAAGCTTTTCCTTTCTTGACTCTAGAAAGTTATAGAATTCTAATGAATTATGCTACCTTCCAATTAAAAATTCTTCATTTATCCACAAAAATGAGTTGTATTGCTACAGTACGTACTTCAAAAACTGCACTGCTATACAATACAAACTTTATTAATACTACCCATGGGGGCTTTTTGGGGCTAATCATCTAAAATTAGAACACAAAAGAAAAAATTACAAAGTAATCACTAAAATTACTAAATATAAAATATGATAAAAATTACAATAAGTTGAGAAGTTAGTTTATTTCTTAATTTCCTTTTGAAAATAAAGCAGATGGATTAATTGATCAAAAGCACACGAAATTCTTGCGCATGCACAGATACCAACAATGCAGCCTGCTGCTCATAAGGCAAGACTGGTGCTCTTTGCTGTTAATTCTGTTAAACTGAGTTCAACTACAAAATTAAAATAATTATCATAATATATTATGCCTTGTTCAAATGTCAAAGGCAACTGTGCCAGTTGAATGGACGGCAAGGTTGACCTGAATACCAATGTATTGATTGTAACTGATTGAGACGTTGAACTTTACTTCGTTGATAACATCATTAGGTTTGACACATGTAAAGATTTACGTTTGAATTGGGCAACCGGGCAATTTTTGTCACAGAAGTTGGCAATGCTTGGTATCATCATATAGTCTCACAATCACAGTCTCAGCTCTCTTAAAGCTGAAAAGTCAACAACACTTTAAATCTGTATGTTATCAAAGAACATTTCTACAAGCCTAGGCTGCTTTGGACCAGATATACAAAATGTAACTAAAACACAAGTTCTCACACACCACTGGGAGCCATGCCAAGCTGAACCATGCAGCCTGACCTTTACTAGCATAAGAACATAGCTGTCTTACAGTGACACAAAAAAATTGGCTAGAGAATAATTTCACTTCAAATTAATACGTCCTAAAAATAATTCATGGGTGGGTGGGGCATGTCACACAATGGCGGATGGCAAAACAAAAACTGAACCTTACACAAGCCACGTGACTTGAAAACCCCCTGCACACTTTTACTCAGACTCCCAGCCGTGCGTGAGAAAAACGTTTTCCGCTTCTTTCGTTTGTCAGCCAGCTTAAAACCACCCTTGTTGAATACAACTTTCCCTGACTTACTTTTTCTTAGACTCTGATCCATTTCGACTAGCCCAGGCACTGTCAGTTCCAAAGTTGTAAGGATCTAAGGACTGGACAAGCATTAAAGGAGTTCCAATGGTTATCATTGGCAAATATTGATTCAGATAATTTAAACAAAGTCCAGAAGCTCATTAGCACAGTAATAATTAGCCTACACTCTTTTTTCCAGAAACCATTTATAATAACTTAAAGGTACATGTACCTAGGGGTATTGCCATTCCCTCTAGAAGGAATGGGATGGTTGCAAAGTTGTCCATTAGCAAGATAACTATTCATATTCCTCGGCAGACAGACAGGTACTATGAGGGCAATACAGCAGCCACACAATGCTGACACATTGAATTACCAGTCCCACACAAAGTTTTGGTTCCACGAGATACAGGTAACATTTTGGAGACGTTTTGAGCAGTTTTACCCCCTCCTAGAGGAGTTCATAATCATAGCTTTATTTTATGTAATTTTGATCTTTTTTATTTATTTTATTTTTTGTGTATAAAACTGTTACTTGAGGTATAATGAGTCAAAAGCAATTAAAACTTTACCAAAAATGTTTCATAACTACACATAATAATTGCTCTATTGAAGATATTATTTAAAGGAGCTAAGTCACAACATTTTGAGTTATTTTGGCCACGCATAATAAATTATATTGCCTTTACATTGAAGGAAACCTTTAGTAGTTTACTAAAAAAAGAGAAACATTACAGACAATTACAGTAGACCTTAAAGGAAAAAGGAAGGTTAAGGCTGGAGAAGGTTAACACGGACTACAAACAATGAGGCCTTTGACTGGTAAAAGCAAAAAGCGACACGACCCTGAAAACCAGCCACATGGGACTTTCTAATCAGTGACCAGTGAATTGAATGCACCACTAAAATTCAACAGTGACACAAGAAGCACTAGAAAAGACAGCAACATTGACCCTTTTAGACTTTTTTTTTCATATGTAGAAATTGCATTTATTTTACAAAAGCTGTAAATGTCAGAAACTTGTTTGCTTTTCCAATGAACACGCTCCAAAAGAATAAACATTGTGTGAATATTCCAAAAAAAGTAACACATGGTTGGCCTGGTAACTAGAAACTCTCAAATTGCCCGTATTGGTGACCTTTGGTTTTTCATATGGCGCGACAGTTGCCTGACTGAACCCTCATGACTGGGTCGTCTCCACTGCAGGCAAGTGAGCGTCCAGGTCAGGGCTGTCAGAGTTGGTCTGGTCTGATCTATCAGAGCTAATCAACAGCATAGTAAAAATCTTCCTGGTTTTTTTTCACAAACTAGTGATCACTTGTCAGTGGCTTCAGTTAGCTACGGTTTTTCCGATTTTTCTTTCTCTCCATGGGAAAAGACACAAAAGGAATGGAGATGCACAAACACAAATCCGAAAAAAAAAAAAAAAACGGAAAGTCCAGGGACAGCATTTTGTACTTGAGCTGTTAGGTAGGCGTGAAATTAGTCTCCCTTGAGTAAGGACGAAAATAAATGAAATGATCACAAAGCACGTGCATACGAGCGGGTTTGTTCTCGTTTATACATGTATTATGTAATATTAGTTACGACCGCCCGCCGGGTCAGTAAAAAACATGGACTGCAGTCGGTAGGCCGCCTTTAGTCCGCAGTCCCCATTTTATACCTATGTCCGTGTTTTATACCCAGTCCGTAGTCCGTAGTCAGCAGTTCCCAGTGCGTATCTTATGCTGACCGTGTAAATCGACACCAATCATGTTTGTTCCGTCGGTGCGCGAGACGACGTGCTTTCATTTAATACCAAAACTAGGACAATTATTCCGTTTACGAACACGACTTTGAATCGCCTTGGCTTTTTACTTCCGAATGAAACGGAGGACATGCTGGTGTACCAGAGCAATCCATTGGAAGTTGAACTCTTTTCCTATGTAAACACTTCCACTGGGTTTATGTTACACATTTTTTGCACAGAAATCTACGCGAGCGAAGTGAAACTACACATTTCTTCCTTTGATTTATTCAGCAGAAAGCAGCGTTGGTTTTTGTCGAAGAGACTTGAGAGGGTACACCACATACAGCCAAACTACAGCTTTCTTTTCGTACGAAAAGTTGTATACATTTCGTGAAGACATGTCTGCAAGGTTTTTAAATGCCATTAACACTGACTTCGAACTTTAAATAAATAACTTATATAACTAGAATAACTCGAGAGCCACACATGTCCGCAATGCGACCTATTTTTTCATACAAAGAATAATTTCATTTTATGTTAAGGTTAGCTCATGTCAATCATCATTCACGGGGAAATCTACGGATGTGCTCAAAGAGCACTTTGATTCCCTTCTAAGGACAGTGGTCCAAGGGAATTCATAGGCTTAAAAGTCACCCCAATAGTTATGTATTCCCCCCGTTATATTGCTGCCACGCGGCTGAACTTCATATCAGACTTCAGTAAAAATATACTAGCGTTCTATTACGAATGTCGTTCGTTGATTGGCTAAGCTACTCACTATCTATTCTGCGATAAATACTGAGTAGCGTAGCAGCGTGCGTTTGTTAACAAGATGACGGCTACTTCTTGGCGTTTTCGAAGTGTCAGTGAGGGAGATTGAGCTAAAGTTTTGAACGACTAGTAAATTTATACTAAAACAATTAGATTACTCGCTCTCGATTTCCATGCGTGATAGAAATCTCGAGCTCATAATCTAATTGTTTAATTGCACAGTAGTCCCAGCCTTCTCTAAAACAAACCTGGAGTTCTTCTTCTCGAACACTAGTAATGCGGGCCCTGTACCACTTGTCGTCCTTGGAATATTTAGCCACACACAGCTCACCAGCTGCAGGTAAAATACGTCTTGGATCTTGACAAATGTTTCGAGAGTAAAATTTTCTACAAGAAGCAGAACGGAGGAGTTGTTACAGTAGATAATGTGCCGTGCAAGCTTGTGCTGCAGCAAAATTGCGAGGCAAGTGGAACGAAGGTAAACGGGGAGCGAGCTTTGCGCTCTCCAACTCATTGTAACAAGACATGCAGCTAAGGCCCACTATTGCAATCCCCTATACGGAGTAAGAAAGGGTCTCACTCCACCCAAGCATACCCTCATCCCAGCTTCCTTTTAACTTTTTGAGAACCACAGGATCCCTAAATGGAAATATTTGTCAGTCAGTTACGGCGACCATGATAACGTGTCATTTAATCAATGATCATGAGATCAGCTGTCCGAAGTGGTGATTTAGAAAAACATGAAAACTGTCCATGCTTTCTTCAAGGTAGCTAAGTTAGAACATAAAGGAAAATTTGAACGATATGAAATTCGGTATGATCCATATGGCCCATGAACTTAAGTCTTCAAAGTACGCCTTAATTAAGCTGAAAGCAAAACAGCATGCTTTATATGTTGATTTATAACTTAACTGAATCACCGAAAGTAGTATGATAGCACCAACTTGAAGCGTGACATTGGGTGACATGTCACCTAAAATAGCTTGAACTAACGAAACAAAAGCGCCTTAAACAGTAGCTAAGCCCTTTAAAACAAAAGTACACTAACATAGCTTCCTCCGACCAGTCTGTTATCTTGCCGTTTTCTCCCGCGTCACTCACGGGTTCCACGTTACCCAGGAAACACTCGAGGGCTTGAAATGGAAGATGAAGGAAGTGAGGGAGCATGCGCTTCACGTGACTCTCACGTGTCCACTCGGAGTTGCCATAGTCCACGAAAAACACCTGACAGGAGAGCAATAAAGAAAAATAGCTTCACAATGCGTACATGTGACTAGTGCTGGGTAATATATAATAGTGATTTGGAGATGATTATATTGCATCAGTATTAATTAGGACTTTGTCGGCAGAGATGACAGGTCGGTATAGCTAGGCAACGATATGATGTGAAGCTCCAACAATGAAAAACGCCTGACAGGATAGCAGTAACGAAAAAGTGAAAAAAAAAAAAAAGCAAATTATTACATATCTACCTGGAATAATGAACAAGGAAAGCGTAATGCTTGTAATGTAAAGTTGATAACCTGTGCTGTTTCACAGGCCTGCCCGGTATTTTGAATATTATACATTTCGAGCCGCGAGCAAAGAAATTGGTAACTACTGACATTTCAAGCCAAGGTCATACGATGCAAATCTCTAAAGACGATCTCTTTTGCTTAAGCTCAGCCTCGGCTGAAGGCCCCAATTTATCACGAGGAAAAACAATGGCTTAAGAACGAAACAATTCCTATTGTTTGGACTTGTTTTGTTTTTCAACTCACCCATGTATTTATTTAATCGTTACCTCAAACCAGCGATGGAAAAACCACGTTACACAGTTCGCTTCACACTGATGAAACTAAGCTACGACACAGCAACTACAGCAGACGGAAGTGACAAAATCTTTATTAATCATTACATTGAGTCAGGTTACAAGCACAAGTTTTGTCTCAGCGCAAAGTTAGCAAAGTGAACACAACGACGCTTTGCAAATATGCGATATGTGGCTACATAAAATTNTATTATCTCTTTGGTGTTTTTCTATCTTAGTAAACTACTATTTTCAGGTTTTCTTCAATTTAAAGGTTATTTTGTGCGTGGCCAAAATGACTCGAAATACCGTGAAGTCCTGAGCTCCTTCCAACGGTTAAAACATACCTGCAATAATACGATTTTCGATCGGTTCAGGCCCATACGGGAACTGCACCCAGAAATGTCCCGGATTAAAGATGGCCGTGACACGAACTGCGACCCAAGTTCCAATATCGGGTAGCGTGACAGACGAGTCCATGTTGTCACAAAACACCTCCACTAAGTCATGCAGTTCCTCTCCTACAAGCAGAAAGACAGAAATCGCGACAGTAGATGATCTTGTAAAGAAGCCATCGAGTTGTATAACTTGGAGAGGTGAGCAATTGTGGGAGGACGAGGGGTATATCGGAAAAAANGGGAACGAGGTTGGCCTGCATAAGATCGTATAGGTATGGATTTTGTTTACCTTTCTTTAGATGGAGATTGGGACATTGATCTCCTCGCCAGCAGCCCGACCTGGTTTGATAATAGCGACAAACTCTTCTGCTTAAGTCCTCTAAAATAGAATCAACATAAGAGAACAAAATAAAATACCCTAACTATTCTCAGAATTCAGCCTAAAAACGGCAATTTACATGGTGTACAAGGTAGTTCAAACACTTGAGTCTGTGGATGAAACTCTAACGTGTGACCATTCAAAGAAAAGATATTGAACTGTACTTTCATATGGTACTGTTTATTGTAATGTAGACGGTGGTTCTGGCTTAAAATATGTGAATAAAAGAAACCCTAGTGTGTGACCATACAAATGAAAGCTATCGAGCAATACTTTCATGTGGTGCTGTTTGCTGTGCAAGGTTGTTCTAACTCTTAAGGCGATGGATGAAACTCTAGTGTGTGACCATTCAATTGAAAATTACTGAGCAGTAAATTCCTATACGCCTAATTTTTAAATACTCAAATACATACGGTATCCCTGGAAAGCAATGTCCAAATCATCTGTGTTAATTGCGTATGTATTTTTAGCCGAGAGGAAATCTTCCTTCATCGGATCCCAGTTACTTAAAGGACTTGTTGGACTTTTCACTGCATTGCTGTCGATCTCTTCAGAAGGCGAACCTGTCAGCCCAAGATTTAAATCAATGAAAAACTACAATTTAGAGCACGTTGCTAAAATGATTACAATGCTTTGGTTTTACAGAAAGTCATCAAATGTAGTTTAGAAAGGATATACCTCCATGTTCCATACTTGAAGCAGTATTCTCTAAATCCTCAAGAGAGAGTTTGACTGTCATCACATTAGTCGCTAAAGATAAAGGAACAAAGTTCTCACATAAACGCATTTGCGGTCTTTTCCACCCAAGGTAATTTTTTTTTTCGGTCTCTTGTTACATAAAACAAGTAGATTCCATGTTCCCGTGCGTCTGTTCAATAACTGACCACAGATGATGTCAAAATGTGGTAAGGACATCAGTGACACACCCAGTGCCACTTTTTTTATGTCTTACCACATTTTGAAGTCATCTGCATTCATGATCTATTACTAAACAGACGCACGGCAACATGGAATCTATTTGTTAAATAGTCACGTGGAAGTTGGACCAAGTTACCGAGGAAACAAAGAGAGAACTAAACAAACAAAAGGATTAACAAGCAAAGAAAACGCTTGCACTACTCGCCTAGAGAAATTCACCTGTTTGTTCCTCTGGATTTTCCACAAAAGCAGCGATTCCAGTGTCTACAAGAACCTGATTAATAAATATGTCTTCGTCTCCTGTGGTGTCGTATAAATTAAGATTTAACACTGGCTTCTTGTACGATATATCAACCTGTGGAATAAAACAACAAATAGGTNCTACAATTCAGTGACAATTAACCAATCAGAGCGCGCGTAATATCGGCCACAAGCCAAAGCCATATAATAAGTAGTTATTAATCGCTCTTGCGGGTTTAGGTCCCGTCCACAATACGCCAGAGAAATTTGAAAACGCAACAATCATCGGTGATTTTGGTTTTGTGTTTGAGAAAAACTCGGGCGAGGAAATCACATGATTATCGTGATGTGCATCATTTCCGAAAACCTCCGTTTAAAAGAATGTTTTCCGTCCTCACAAAAACGCAAAGCCAGCGTTTTCAAATTCCTCCGGCGTGAAGAGCGTTTTTTTTTTTGTGACGGATTAGTTGGGACGGTAGGCCTAACCGTAGAAATAAAGCTGCTTTTTCAAATTCTCCGGCGTAGTGTGAACGGCTTCTCAGCTTTTGCCGCTAAAATTATACCAAAGTTACATTGTATTGTTGCAAAGCACGGGAAAATTTGAATTTTTTTTGACGACGGCTGGGAAATGTACAAAATTGTGTAACGCACGTGCAGAGCCATTGTACTGCTAATTAAACCTAATTAAGCGCCCTTGCGGGTTAAGAAATTCAGTGATTTTAACAAGAGCTTACAAGCTTACAACTGAATTGTACTTTATCTTAACTAACTGAACAAGAAAAACAGTGGAGATCTCCAGAAACTTCTGACCAAGATAGGGAATTACCCAGCCATTGTTCTCACCGGGAATGCGGCTTTGTCGGTTGTAGAGGCATCTTGATCTTTCTGTGTATCTTTACTTTTCTCCTCTTCTCTGCTTTTAACGAATTCAATTTCGCTTAATTCACTGCTATCATAAGACTCATAGCCAGCTGGTCGCATTACAGCATGCTCATCTTTCAGCGAGATCTTTGGAGGCCGTTTCCGTTTTCTTCGGTCTTTTTTACGAGATTTCCTCGTGGGAGAAGATTCAGTTTTCGATGGCGGTTCAAACGCTGGGGCTTGCTTCTCTTCTTGCGGTGGGCTTTCTTCGACTTTAGCCTCGTTATTTTCGGTTATCGGAGGAAGAGAAACAACTTCTTCTGGTGTTGTTGTGGACAGATCTGCAAAAGGGCATTAAAACTGATCAAAACTAAAACAATTCCAACAACAGCTGACACGAAAAAAGCCTGATTGCTAAAGTTCTTGAATACTGAAATAACCAAAGAAAAACACCGCATATCAAATTAAGGTAAAAAGAGTGTTTTTAATCCTCATTTGACGACGTTTACCTCATGCCTCATGGTGAGTGCGCTCGACTCTGGATTGAGCAGTCCGGGTTCGAGCCCTGGCCGGGGGCATTGTGTTGTGTTCTTGGAAAAACATGTTACTCTCGCAGTGCCTCTCTCTACTCAGGCGTACAAATGGGCACCAGCGAATTAAATGCTGGGAATTTTAGAGCTGGTGAGTCCAGCGCATCCGACTTTTTTTTTCTCTTTTTTTTTTCACGTATTCTCCTTTCTTGTTTTCATTATCCTTAGGCCCCATCCAAACTACGCCGGAGAAATTTGAAAACGCAGCATTCTTTCAACGGTTACGCCTAACGTCCACACTAATCCGTCACGAAAACGGAGATTTTCGAAAACGCTGTTCAAATCGGGCGAAATTGAAAACGCCGGCTTTTCGTTTTCGTGTGGACGGAGAACATTTTGAAAACAGAACTTTTCGAAAACGATGGCGTCACGATAATCAGGTGATTTCCCCGACCAACTCTTCCTCGAAATCCAAGATGATTGTTGCGTTCTTGAATTCCTCCAGCGTAGTGTGGACAGAAAACATTTGATGGGTTTTCAGAGTGAAACCTCCGTTTTCAAATTCCTTCGGCGTAGCGTAGACGCGGCCTTAAATAGCCAGCAACGGAGCGAACCAAACCACTTACCTTCAATTACTTCAGGTTTAAGGTTTGCCAGTCGACATTTTACAACCTGACCAGGCAGTGATAAGAATTTAGCTACAAGAGGTTTCACATCTCCAACCGAAACCCACTCGGAACTTCCGAAGTCCACATGGAACACTTCTACATCCAATAAACTGTTTAGTGGTCCGTTTGTTTCATCCATCGTGCAGCGCAAACTCTTTACCAGGCTGCGGTACCACCTCCCGTCCTCTGAGAACCGAGCGCAACAGTAGTGTCCCACTTGGGGCTGGTAACCATTACTAGGTGCACAACTGTCGGGAAAAGGGTCACCTGTAGAAAGAGTGAAGAGGAAAAAATAACCATAACTTAAAACACCAACTTTGCTTTTACTCCCAGAAAACTACAGGGAATATTATAGAATGCAAATAAACATACTGTCATAGAACTTGTTGAGATCGTTCATCATGACATCAAGAAGCCCTGCATCCGGCGTAACAAGATGAACATAGAACTCGCTGGGGTTCACCACATGTGACATGAGCATTTGGAGACATACAGGCTCCTCCATGGGTGGGAGCTCAGTGATGAACGACTCCTCTGGGCCTGACACAGGGAGGGACTCGGTCCCCGACACAGAGATGGGCTCGGTGAACATTGCGACGTCTGTGTTTGAAAGAAATATAACTCGCAATTAGTGTAGGGCGAGGTGATGTTACAATTGAAGTGAGTGATAATTTTAAAAATCAATGATATTCCTTCTTCTCAGTACCTCTCCGTTTGACAACCATGTGTTGATTACTGTTACGAGAAAATCTCTTACGGGAACTAAAATTAAAGAGTTACAACACTACCAAAACCAGCTAACTGTAAGCTGACTCGTTATCAAGTATAATGGCGTTTCATTCTGACACATGGTTGCCACAGACAGCACTTTTCAAAATTCCCTGAGTTTTCCATGATAGAAATACAATTTCCCTGACAACATAAATACATAATGTCAGATATAGCAGCGGCTTCTGGCCTCAACTTACAGCCGTTCTTTCCACTCGTTCATTAAGACTGATAAGTTTTCAACAGATTTCCCTTATTCGTTAAGTAAAAGTATCGTTGAGATCACAGTGACCCTAAAAGTCTCTTCCAACTTTCAATGGTATTAAATCAGCCGTGTTAAATTATTTCAACTTTCCCTGTCTTTTCTTCCAAATGACAAATTTTCTTGACTCAGACTAAAATTCCCTGATTTTTCTCAGACCTTAATTTTTTTTCCGCTGACCAATTCCTGAGCTGTGTCAACACTAAAACAAATTACAGTTCAATTTATAGCAAAGTCTCAAATAGGCGAGTATTTAACCTTTATAAAGTTCTAGAGGGAAATAGCGAAGTGCTTCACTTGGCCCGGACAGCACAACAGTCTCTTCAGATACTTACAACTCTATTCCAACTTACCACTCGCTAAAACGTCCTGTTGTTCTTTAGAATCTTCGCAGTTTTCTCTTTCGATGTTCGGACCTGAAGCAGTTGGGGAAGCATTGTCCGTTTCTTTCGCTACAACACTCTCCTCTGTAAACGTAACGGTAGTGGAAGTTTTTGTTTCCAAAACAGATTGTTCGTTATCGATTGTGCTGTTTTCTTGTCTTTTCTCGGGTCTTTGTATAACGGTTTCTTTAGATGAGAAAGAATTATCCGTACACGTGCTCTCGTCTTTGCCGTTCAAAGCCTCGCAGCTGTTTACACACGCAGTTCCATCTTGGACGCTGCTTTCAATGCTAACACTGCTACAGCTCCGAGATAAAGACTCGTTGCTTCCCCCTGACACAGGGCTCGAGCCACTGCTGCAACCAGTTCCTTCGTTCACCTGTGGCATGATTCGTTGCGCCATGCCCGCGAAGACCATCATCTCGGCGATACTGAATTGCAGTCCAGGGAGTCCTTTTCCAGCTTGAGTTGAAACTGGACTCTTGTTTTTAGGGTTTTTTGGAGGAAAAACAAAGAGATCGATGATGACAAGTTTGCTAGATTCAACTCTCGTGGGATACGCCCGAAGTTTCGCTCCAGAAACTTTACATTTTAGCCACGCGATAGATTCTTCACTCCATAGGGAGGTACCTGTTCCTGAGGATAAAATGGCAAAATTTCAGTTGAAAATTCCTTCTTAAAAATTATCTTAACCTTCATCGCGCGTGTTTACTAAGCAGATTCAGAAAACTACATCATTTTTAAGCGAAAAAGAAAAAGGCTTACACAGGCGTTTCCTACCTCGTTTCGTCTTTATTAAAANATTATCAACAACGGCCAAATGACAAACGACTGATTGGTGTGTATAAAACTCCATTTTTTATTGTAAAAGGTGATGAAACTTGATCTGTACCGCGTGTCGTTGGTCTCTGCTTCTGTTTTATCGATACAGTTTGATTCACATATGCTAAAATGAGTACTTTTTGAAAAAAAAAAATTGTTGCACCCTCGGGGAAAAAAAAAACAGGTGTCATATTACACCCTTACCTCCCCATAACGGCCACATCTCTACAACAGCCATTTTCCCCCGTCCTCAAGGTGGCCGTTGTGGAGAGGTTTGACTGTAGTCTAAATGGTACACTGCAGGATTACTATCAAACCTTTGTCTGATTCCTCCACAGCTGTCACTAGTGCTCTGTACCATGTGTCATCTTGGGTGAACTTAGCACAGCAGAAGTCTCCCACTGCGGGTGCTGATATCAAGCCTCCCTTGTAACCTGCGGCCGCTAGTTTTGCGTAGTGCATGCTCGAATAACAGAAATAGCACTCAATCGATCAACTGACTAATCCACTTGTCAGTTCATCCTGGCAAGTCATACATCCATCAATCCATATGTCTGTATGTCCATCTGTCAGTCAGTCAGTCAGTTAGTCAGAAGTCAGTCAGTCAGTCAGTCAGTCAGTCTGTTGGTCAGTCAGTTGGTTGGTCAGACTTATTGACCAACCAACTAACTGATTGCTGGGTCAGTCAATCGATCAGTCAGTCAGTCGGTCGATCTGTCTGTCACTCGGTCACTCAGCCTGTCAGCCAGTCGGTCAGTCAGTGAGTCAGTGGAGTTTTACAAATACAGACAACAGACTTGTAAACTCACAGACATGCAGACTTTTTTTAAGTTATATTTTGTTACTATTATATTTAGAGAGACAACTGAAAATGACATAAACTGAAACAAGAACAATTATTCAGGTTAACCTGACTGATCTGCAAGATATCAGTCTGCATTAGTCACATCTGACCAGTAACACAATATCCACAGGCCTATGTCATGTGCATCCAAGAAACAGGGGCAGCAGGAATACTTCCCCACCCCTAGAGTTGCCCATGGAGGTAAGTCAACCTCCTATCTGCTGCTTACCACATTTCCTCCATCAGTAGATCCAGCTCAGAGCCGACAGGCTGCACCCAAAGTTCCCATGGACTCAGAACCTCAGTGACGACAACTTCAAGTCTCTGGCCATTCTTGAATGGGTGCTCAGGAAGCTGAACTTTAATATGAAACAGAACAAGATCATTGTAAAAGGTGTACCATTATAGTGCATAAATTCAACAAAGATGAAAGATTGTTTTTTCCAGCTTCTATTATAAAGCAATGTACAGTAAGTAAACTGTGAAGATCTCGCTCTTTTGTTCCAAGGTACAGTACAGGCCAAAGGGATTGCAGCATTACATGCACATAACATGCATGTACTACACGCATATTTAACACAGTGACCACTCATTTTACATGCACCAAACAGTTTACACTTGAATACATGAAAATACATGTAACTGATTACACGCAGTGGAAGGCTGCTGTAGGCTACAGGTATCATGTCACTTGCTACTGTATACCGTATCCACAGAACACATTACCAACAAACATAATACATGTGATCAAAAGTAAAAGCTCATGACAAGCAGATTTTATACCTTTTGTTGGTATGTTCTCAGCAGAAATGTTAGCATCTCTTGGAGAAGTTCTGATATCTTGAATAATATCAGAAAGAGCACTGACAGATGAAGAAGATCCTTTTCTTTTGACATCTTTTGGAGGTTTTGCAAATAAAGGATAGTCTGTTTGCTTGTGATCAATGCACTGTTTTGTGGGTTCAGTTCTGCCATCTTGAAAAACATCACATGGTGGGCTCCCAGAGGAAGAAGATCCTTTTCTTCTAGAATCCTTTAGCGGCTTTCCCAGTGAAGTATCTTCTCTTTTAGTGTGGTCTGTGAACTGTTTTGCAGGCTCAACTTCGATAAGCTTGGATATCAGATTAAGCCCTTCTCCACTTTTCAATGCCTCGTGACTTGCAGATGATAGCTTCTGGGATTGTTTATTAAGATCTTCAGGAACTGATTGTTTAGCTTGAAATTGTGGTATTTGTTCAACAGTTGGTGGATTGGAAACAGTACTTACCTCAGTTGCGTGTTTCAAAATGGAGGCTCGTCCATTATTTTCTGTTGATTTAACAGCACATGAATTCTGTGAACATGTGGACTGCGACTCAACCACGCCCCCAACCTCAGTACTCTTTTGAGTTCCACTGTTGTTCTGTAGATCATTCTCTAAACATGGACTGACACTGTCACCTGAGAGTTGTGAGGCATTTTGTAGCCCTTTACTATTTTTATCACCTAAGGCCTGGGAATCTTTCTCAACGCTGTCTGGCTTCTTGGATGACACAGCATCCTGCTCAGTATGCTCACTGTGTTCAGATGCTGTTGAACTGCTGTAACCTTCACTAGCACCTTACACAGAAAAAAGAATGTCAGATATCTTAAAAGTTTGAAATGTAAAATTCTCCTTTGTTATGGGATCATGCATTGATTTGGTGGTATCCTTGATGTTTGAAAGACACAATTATAGTATTATAGAAGTACAGTTCAGTTTCAGTTCTTAAGTAGCCAGTGGCATGTTTATACTTTTATACTGAAGGAGTCAAACCTTTTATATAATTATTTAATACAGTGTATGATCTATAATAATTGTTCACTACAGTAAACTAGTGCATTAAAGCCTAAAAAATTAGTATCATAATAANCAATAACAATAATAATAATAATAATAATAATAATAATAATAATAATAAAACTTTATTAAAGTGTCAAACCATGTAGCCTGGGAGAAACCCATACTGATATGGGGAAACATATAAAGTGCATACATTCTACAGTATATTGTGTCAGTCTTACAAGAAAACAAAAATTAATGCTGTATGGTCTCAAAACTTACCTAAGGTGTCTTCCTCCCCAAGAGCTGTGACAGAATCACTTATCAACAATAGACAGTCAAGACACTTTTCCAGTTCCTGACTCACAGATGAGTACTTCTGAAAAAACTTCTTGCGATCTTTCTCTTCGAGGAGTTTCTTGGCTGGATTAGATGCCTAAATGAGACAAAGATATGCCTTAACATTAGACTAAGATGAAACTGTCACAGCAACCCAGACTATACTGTAATTCTGCGAGTAAACTGATACATGTATATAATCAACATTTTTGCAGTTCTTAATAATAAGCATCTGATTAACAACATCATAACAACAACCACAACATTTATTTATACCAAAAAACAGAAAGAAGAATACAATAATTTTAAGCTTACAAATATGGTATTAGCTGTCTAAAACAACCATACGGCTAAAAATATTAAGGAGAGCTAGAGCAGCACTCTGGTATCTTGTCCCAGAAAACCATCCAGTGATCCTGGCCAGAGCTCAACTTTGACTAATCAGTCTGCAAGTGACTGGACATAAAATATTACTTAGGCAACTGTGCCTCTCACAAATAATTTAAGGTTACTTCCCACCTTCGCAGGTGCCCTTCGGGAAAAAAATCGTACGCGCACCAGTTTCAATAAAACCCCAACAAACTATACATCATAAGAAAGCTTAATAAATGTACTTTACGAAAAAAANGCATTAAAGTCTAAAAAATTAGTATCATAATAACAATAACAATAACAATAACAATAACAATAACAATAACAATAACAATAATAATAATAATAATAATAATAATAATAAAACTTTATTAAAGTGTCAAACCATGTAGCCTGGGAGAAACCCATACTGATATGAGGAAACATATAAAGTGCATACATTCTACAGTATATTGTGTCAGTCTTACAAGAAAACAAAAATTAATGCTGTATGGCCTCAAAACTTACCTAAGGTGTCTTCCTCTCCAAGAGCTGTGACAGAATCACTTATCAACAATAGACAGTCAAGACACTTCTCCAGTTCCTGACTCACAGATGAGTACTTCTGAAAAAACTTCTTGCGATCTTTCTCTTCGAGGAGTTTCTTGGCTGGATTAGATGCCTAAATGAGACAAAGATATGTCTTAACATTAGACTAAGAGGAAACTGTTACAGCAACTCAGACTATACTGTAATTCTGCTAGTAAACTGATACATTATCAACATTTTTGCAGTTGTTAATAATAAGTGTCTGCAAAAAAGCCATTCTAACAAATCTTTACATTATAACAACACCACAACATTTATTTATACCAAAAAAAGGAAAGAAGAATACAATAATTATGGTATTAGTTGTCCAAAACATCCATACGGTTAAAAATATTAAGCAGAGAGCAGCACTCTGGTATCTTGTCCAATAAAACTATTCAGTGATCCTGACCAGAGCTCAACTTTGACTACTCAATCTGCAAGGGTCTGGACATAAAATATTACTTAGGCAACGGCACCTCTCAGAAATAATTTAAGACAAGGGTTTCATTAAAGGCTGGGCACTGGGCAAATTGGCCAGCTCTGAGGATGATTTTGCCTGCCTGGTTTGACCATTTAGCAGGAAGTTTTACCCCCCTGTGAAAACCAGTTGCTCTCCTGCTGAAAATGTTAATGAAACCCTTGTTTAAGACCTAAGGGAACTATCTATTAAGGATTTACAAATTACCTTATTGACCAGATCATTGATAAACTGACAAATATAATCTGACTGTTCCTCGACATTATTCAACTTTTCTTGAAGTCTTTTCCTTGCATCTTCTAACGGTTTCTTCTTGGGTGGCATCTTTATTCAAAGTAACACACTCTGAACGAGAACGCCTCCTTCCTACATCTTGATAATGTCACCTAAATGTTAGAAATGAAATAATTTTAATGTTCTTTATTGATTCATAATAACTTTTATTATACCTTTCTAGATGCAGTGTAAGGTAGAAATAAACCTGTCTTCACGCAAGTTACTGTAATGAAGATAGTTTTGGTTAATGAGGTCCTGACAAAAAACAGAATCAAAAGGCAGTTACTGACAGTTCTGAAAAATAATCCTCCTGCATGTACAAACAAACATGACTTTCCTTTGATTTAGTGACATAAATGTATTTATGCAGTATTACTGAATTATCAGGGCTCCCCAGAGATCTCAGGTTTTCAAATATTAATGGACCTCCTTCAGCATAGACCTACAATTTGCTGACTGCTGGCAGTCTGTTTCAATCTCAAAATTTAGCAGGGGCTATGAAGCGAGATGCTTTAGCCTAAAGGGGAATGGGACAAGACATGGGTCCAATCTCAGTTGGGATGCCTGACGACTCGTCTTACTGACCCTAGGAGAAAAGACCAGCTGCCACCCTACTCGAGTTTGTGATGTCTAAGCCCTTGTCTAAGCGACCCTGAGAGAAACATCTGGCTGGCAGCAGTCTAGCATGGACGAATCACTTGGAACTAAAACCTGTTGTCAAGCTAATTAGTTGAACATCCAAACCAGAGAAATAACAAACATGACACATTATTTTGCCATTTAGCACAGACCACAGTGGATTTCATACCGTGATGGGTTCACACAAAAGCCCTACTCCTACAAGTTGACCAGGTTTGCAGAGCTCATTTTACCAATAAGAGCCAATTTTACCAGTCTACGCTTGCTTAGTCACTTTTCACATGTAGATAACTATTTAGTTATTCTGTTATTCTGCTAACTACTATCTCAAGGACAATCCAAACCTCTCTTTAGTTGCTGTACATCCAACAGAAGTGTTTGTTTAGACAAAATAATTTATATATTCTGGGCTAAACACTGCGTAAATTTTAATTTTAACTAAAGAACTTTGAGAATAATGGAGAATTCCACCATGATTCCACCAAAATAAACAACTTAAGCCTTTAAAAGTGACATTTAAGCTTAAGTTAAATTTAAACTTGTATGCATGGTTTTAAATCAGGCATGTTATCTTGGGTATAATCTTTTGTTTTGTAGCGTCCTCCTGATTGCCATTATCCCGCCAAAACTTCTTATACTTGCGCATAATTTAACCACAATAGACAATAAAAGCTTAAAAAATCAAATTGGAAAAGAAAGAAACAATAACTCACCTTTATAACTCAACACAAAACACCACGCGCAAAATGCGCTAGCCCGCCGTAAATTTGATCTCCGATCACATGTTCCATCATTAGTAGCCTGGCCTTATTATGAAGGGGTCACTAAGCTAGATGGGAAGGGGTGGTGGGACATTTCTTCTTCGCCACCCGCGGCAGAAAGGAATTTTCGCTTTCTGTCGCTTTGGTTTACTCGAAATCTTCATGGAGTCTACGCATGGTGTTTAAAACTTTATATGTGGTAGCTGCCGAGTGGTTTTAGTTCTCTGGTTTGGTCTACTTGTGGAGGAGTTCAAGTAAACGATATTCGATCAGGAGGGAACCCTTTGGCAACATGGCGGACAGTCTGGTCGAAGCTGAGGTGTTGTTTTATTGATTTTTGCATTAGTTATGTTATTTATCGCATTATTTATAATAAGAGATCGAGCTGTTCCCTGATGTACTTATTTTTTTCCTGTATAAGAGCAATTTTAAACGCCAGGTAAATGTGTCGCGGTGCGCTCGCAAACCAGACCATGTGCGAAGCGCGAGTCGAAAACATTGCATATATCAAATGCCGCGAAAAGCGAGCCACTTCCGGAATTGCCATAATCCTTGCCATACCTGTTTTCGAAATTAGTCAGATTTGCATTCATGTGAATATCAATGAAAACGAAAAGTTGTTGAAGAAATGCGTGCATTGTCGGTAGCTACATGTACAATGTATTAAAAAGCTAAGTACAGTCAGTAGTTTCACATCATTGGGAGTATCAGTATATTGAAATCTGGGAGATCGCCAATTTTACCTCTCTGACCCTGATTCAACCACAAAAATCCATCAATACTACAAAATTGTCCCCCAAAAATGCTAAAATTGATCAAGGTAGTTGTGAAAATTGTACTTCACGTCCTTTCCTTCAAATGTGGGAGATTTGGTGACCTGTACATGAGAACGGGTGATTCAATCAGAGATTATCTGGGATTAAAGGACACTCTGGGATAATCCAGTCAAGGATAATCCCAGAAAGTTAGCATAGATCATGTCAGCCTGTGTCACAGCCGCCCTCCCCAAAAGAAAATATTGGAGAAGGATCCATGTGTTACCGTTGATTGTCGCGCTCCTTGCATAAATTATCCATGCATTAAACCCTTTGAGTGTCACAACAGCTGACGTAACATGAGGAGACAACAAGAAAACTTACTCTGCATGTGATCTTTCCATGAGAGTTCCGGACCTTTAAGCATTCACAGATAAAAAAAAAAAATAGACAATTTGTAGAATAATTTTGTCGCCATAAAATATCTTCATGAAATTCTGATTACCTGATTAGTCTGGCATCTCAACTTCAAAATTGGAAATCTGAATGGGTTATTCCAGAAAAAATCCACACCTCCCGGCAAATGGGCACAATTTTAAAACCCCTCTACCGCCTGGATTTCCTGAAGCTCTAGACCCCGGCACAACTGGATTTCCAAGGGAAAAGACCCCTTCCTGCCTGGATTTCCAAAAAAGATTATGAACCTTAAATTTAATTTATATTCAGTAGAATCACATGCACAATAACATCCAGAAGATGCTCTTGTGTAATTTCTAAAGCTTAAACAAATATTAAGCTTACAATTGTTCTGTGGAACTCAATTAAACAAGCTAAATATGAAAAAGTTTTAGGACTCGTAGCTGTAACTGTTTCCTACACCGCACAAAATGTCTCCAAATTTATAACGATAAGACTTTCGGTAACTTGAAGTAAATATCTTACCTCCAAGTTGGCCTTCTACTAGGGTGCAGGGGAAAAAAATAAAATTGTGCCGAATTTTGACTTCAAATTGAGTGGAGAAAAAACTTCAATTGTGTAGGGAATTGTGTGGGATTGTGCAATCTTTTGATGAACCGAATTTCAATTTCAACTGTTCTTGCCAAGTCCTACAGCAAGTAAATTCTGTATTGACGATAGTTTGGCCAAATTTATTTCACTTGTGGTACAAATACTCCTGGTAATCGATTGTTGAAGGAAACTGTGTCAGCTGACTGACTGTCTAAACAAAATCATGTTACTTGACACGACTTAACTCGATGCACACAAAGCCAAACGAGAATGCTGTATCTTCCATTATAAATCTGTAGCAGTTTACGGACCTAATTGACAGCCCTTTCCTGCAATATATACATGTATTAGGATACAGTAATAGGAATTGGGATCACTCACTTATACATGTATATTGGTTGGTATATGGGGTTGTGCAATCCCAACAGGTCTTTTTATAACCTTTTTTTATTACTTTCCTTATTGTGGCAAGCCAAATTTGTGACTAACTTCTAGTTATGGTGTTCAGTGAAGTACATTTCTAAAGATATGAATCATTATAATGATGATTTTAATAGTGAAGAAATGTTTCATATGCATAAAAACCAAAGTCAAATTATTCTCCCATTTTGATTAGTTCTCACCTATGACTTATTAGAGGACGGATACATACATGTATGTAGATGGTGGAAATGAGAATGGCAGAAAGTTTTGAGAATTAAGATAATAATTTACATGACTGGGCAGAGGATAGGGTAGGAAAAAATATTGTTGAGGCTGTGAACAGGTACGAGAAGCAGGAAGAGTCCTGAAAGAAAAAGACCTTTTTTTTTTTCAATGATATCTTGAAAAAAAATCGAGCAGTCTCAGTTGGCCATTGAGTGAGATTAAGTGAAACACAGAATTGGTCTTGAAATTATTTCAAGGTAAGAAACCATTACTTTGTCACGGATTTAACAAACTCAAAAGGCAAAATGTTTATGAGATTAATTTATTTAAAAAATTCAACTTTTCTGAGTCTCAAAATAATTGTTTACAAAGATTGGTGTGAGTAATGAAACATCACAACACCACTTCTTAGAATAAACACATGACCCTGCTTTCTGACAGGTATGTTCCAGTTTATATCCGGGCACAGCAGCAAGCAATGTATAGCTCACTACAGCTCACAGCCAACTGTATCGCAGCCAAGAAGTGTCTCCGATAAACATAAATTTACAGTTTGTGAGGAATATACAAACTTTACTTGGCTACTTCCAACCCTTTGGTTTCTTCAATAGTTGTTTTACTGCAACGTTTTCTTTCATGCCGACAGCAAACTGTGGAGATTTGTAGTTTTTTAATGACCTTACTTTTTTTCTGTGGCATGAAGTGGTAATGAGTATTTCGACCATTCCATGTTGGGATGGTACATGTAGTGTAGTCCACATGGCTTTTTGCTTTGTTTTGGCAGGCTCATAATATTGGCTCATGGGCATTTCAAAAGGATAATGCCCTAGAATTAGCCAATCAGACTACACATTATTCCGGCTACAGAAGCATAATATAATAATACTTCTAATTGATTATGCACTTGGGTGGAGAGACTTGCTGGCACTGTGAAAGTATTTTTCAAACTCCAAGGACACATATTTTGATAAATGGATGTAAAATTAGTGTATATTTAATGAAAAATTACATGGATTGAAACTAGTATGTATGATTAATTGCTTAGTTACACTTTCATTTTGTAAAATATCTACACATTAGATTGATTGTGCCTGCACTTGACAGAGCTAAAAAATTAAATTAATGAAAGATAATTTCCAGTCCGTACTGCGCAGTCTCAGCACCCTAATAGTTGTGTCCCACTCGATGGAATGCGCATTGATGTTATTCATTACGAACCACATACCTCATCTGTGATGCCTTTCAAATTCTTTTTCCAACAGCTTCATTGATTTTTACAGCTGTAAAGTTGTTTTTATCAAGTGATACAAGAAAGAACGAAGCGTAAAGCTAATGGCATCCAATGGTGGTTGACCTAAAACTTTGGATTTACTTCATATAAGTAGTTGGAAAATGTTACATTTTGTGATGTCTTACATGTACATGTACACCAAACAAAACAAAAAACAGAAACAAACTCTCAAGAGTGCACAGTGCGGACTGGAAATCATCTTTAATTAATTTAAAAATTAATGTAAAATTTAATTTCAGGGTGACCCTGCTATCACGCGACAGGCCTTACAGGATGTGAACATGCCTTCAGGTACTTATTTTGAATTTACACTTACATGTAACTCCAATGCAGAATATTGGAAAGCCTCTGGTAACCCATTCACCTGCTAGACTGCAAGGAGCCCATCTTTTGTCCTTGTTCAGTGAAGTGTAAAACAATCCAAATAAAGAGCAAGTGGAAAAATTGACGTGTGAAATCTTAGGTTCGACTGAATCCCAACCCCCCCCCCCCCC